TAAAAATTTAAATCATGAAAAAAAAAAAAAGTGAAATGGTATCCTGTCAACCATCTTCAACAATTTCCTCTTTAATTATATTTGTTTTTTTGAAATTATTGAGGATTGTAGTCGTTATTATAAAGAGTAACGCTTATCGTCTCAAGTGAAAAAAAAAATGTAGATGGAAAAAGATAAAAATCAGTCATTTTGTGCAAATACAAGGGCACACCTTGCTAGGTGTGCCAGGGCCTTTTGTGAAATACACCCCTCCCCCAAAAACGCGTGAGGTAAGGAGGCAAATACTTAGGTGTGCCAGGGGCTTATGTGAATTACATCCCCTCTAAAGGCACGTGAGAGGTAAGGAGGTAAGTGTTTTTTTTTTTTTTAATGGGACATGTGTCCCATTTTTATTGGGTAATGAATTTCATATATCATATTATATCAATTAAATTATCATTCATATTTTGTATCAAAAAATAAAAATAAAAATACAAAATTCATAATTTTTCATTCTCTACAAATAGAGACCACATTTGATATTTTTTTGAACATAATTAATTTATCATTTTTACAATTAATTTATCTTATTGGAAGATTATGACGCAAATCTATAATAAGATGAACATGTTACATAGTAAGATGAACATGTTATAGAGTAAGATGAACAAGTCATAGAATAAGATGAAAATGTTACATTTTCACAGATGAAATTTAGATTAACATGTTCTAAAATAAGATGAACATGTTACACAATAAAAATGAACATGTTATAGAATAAGATGAACATGTTATAAAATAAGATGAATATGTTACCAAAATGAGATGAACATGTTATAAAATAAGATGAACATGTATTATTTCAATCTGTAACATGTTCATCTTATGTTAAAACATATTCATCTTATTATGTAACATGTTCATTATATGTCAGTATAATAAAATAATTACAAAAAAAAAGAAAAAATAGTTGTGTTCAAAAACCTATCAAATGTGGTCTCTATTTATAGATAATGAAAAATTATGAATTTTGATATTTTTATTTTATTTTTTAATATAAATAATTAATGATATTTTAATTTGTGCAATATGTCTCATTTTTCAATTAAAAAAAAGAAAAAGTGGGAATGTACACTACACTATCTAAATTTTCTAGTTTTGGGGTGAGGGGCGCGTGCAAAATTGCCCTGTCACACCTAGCTAGGTGTGCAAGGGCACACGGTAGTGCTATTGGTCATTTTGGGAGGACTACTATGGAGTGAAGTCACGTGGTGGTGCTTCCCAATTTTTTTGGTAGAAAAACTTGACAAGTAATCATTTTTTTTTTCTTTTTTTTTTTCGGGTAACTTATAATTGGGTAACTGACGCGTTGCGGTGCGACAAATTTAATTTAAGTTTATAAGTTTTTACTCGACTAATCTTTACTAACTAGTAGTAGCGGCAAGTATGGGTGACCCCACAAGGAGAAGGAACTAAATTGTGATAATTTTGTATTAGTTGAACTAAACTAAGAAAGCAAATAAAGATGGGGGATTGGTTTTATAAAAATATAAAAATAATATAAATCAAATAAAATAAGAGAAGAGAAGTCTAATTTTCGGTTCAATTATCACCCAATCTAAATCCACCGTTAATTAATTTCAAAGCCTTCTCTAAATCGCTAACGAATTACCAATCATAGCTAACAAAAAACTATGTTAACCGAATTTTCTCTTACCCAAGTATTCAATCGAAATAAGCTCTTCGATTAAACCTAATTAGTGGACAACCTAGAATAAACTCTCAAGATTTAATTCATTAGCAGCATTAATCTCTAAGAAAATAGAAACGTTCGCAAAATCTCGGACCATTTAACTTATATTCACACTACCCTAGAAATGCACGATCCCTAATTTACTACTAACGAAACAAGAACAATAACAATTACGGATTAAAGCCTTGTCTCTAGCAGCCAAACTATGAATAATGTAGATGGTCAGACTAAATCAAACCCCATAATTCATAAACATTATAAACAGAATACATGAAGCAACTTACCAACAAAATAAATACAGCATCTAGATTAATCAACGATGAATCAAAATCCTTTAATGCATAGACAAATCAAAGTTAAGGTTCAAACATCCCCTCAAACTGAATGAAAATTCTAGTTTAATATATTAATAAAAATAAATATTCATAAATAAAAGAGTGAATAAAATTATCTCCCTCGTGCGCTGCTGCAGCTTTCCTCCGCTATGTTTTTTTTCTCTCATCTGTTGCTCTATGTCCGTGTACTCATCTGTGCGTGTATTTTTCTCCCAGTCTGCTGTTACGGAAATAATGCCTCTTCTTTCCGCAGCACTCACGGCTTTCCGCAGAAATATTTTGGTATCTAGCAACTACCTAATTATTTTGCTTGAATTTCGTACATGCACAAATAATTTTAAAATTATGTAAACATGCAATTTTTTATGTTTAGTAACGGTACATATGCAAATAGGCCTAATATACATGGCTTTCACAAAACTAGCCTGGGCTGGAGCCCACCCCTGCCTTTTGGGTGGCTCGCCCCTGTATGGACGCACAAGTGTAATTCACAACCAAATTTAGACTTCCTATCGATCTTACTTAAAAAAAATGTAAAATTTAAATAAAATAATGATATTATATTTTAAACATAGAGTATTTTAAGTTATATTTATGGAAATAATATTAAAATTATAAGTTAGATAATAATATTTTGTTTTCAAATTTGATCATTGGTTAAAATAGATAGTACAAAACGATTTGATTGCATACAAATCACTATATTGATAGAAAAATATAGTAATAATAATAGTAATAATAATAATAATAATAATAATAATAATATACTTTTTATAATTTTGATGGATTATGACCAATTAATTAGTTGAAAAATAATAAATTTATTATAACAATTTCTTATGCGATTTTGAGAAATTTTAGTATGACGTTAAACCAAATTAATTTATTTAGAAAACAATCTCTTAATGAGATTAAAAAAAATATAATATAGATTTTAGAATAAATAACTTGAAAAAAAAATTTTACAATATAAATATAATTATTAATTTTAATTATAATTATTATATGATTCAATAAAAAATATTTTTATTACTCAATTAATATAAAATACTTTGTATTAATTAAGAAAAAAACATTACAAGAAAATGATGAAATTCCAACAGAAATCTATTCCAAAAGAATTATTCCAACATAAATCTATTCCAAAAGAATAATTCCAACGGCAATTCCAACGATTTCCGCTAAAATTTTTCAATGGATTCCAACAGAAATTCCAACAGAAATATTCCGTTGGAATAGGTTTTCTATTAGAATTTCCGTTGGATTTTGACGATTCCAACGGTAGATTTTTCAACGGGGGTGGAAATAAAAATTCCAACAAAATTTGCATATTCCAATGGAATTTCCAACGGTAAAAAGCCGTTGGAAATATAGCCGTTGGAATGATGAAATTCCATCTAAAATTCCAATGAAAAACACATTCCAACGAATAGTTCCGC